ATATATATATGGAAATACTTACCTGTGTGTTTTCTTCAATTCTGACAGACCTTGGGTTTTTCCTGCGTCTCCAGTCCTGGGCGTTTCATGTTACCTGTGGATTGATCTGTACTTACCTGAGCTTAAGTTTCTCCTCGTGGACACCAACCAAACTACTACACCTCCTGCCTCAACCTAATGATGAGCAAATGAACTTTTATGAAGCATTGAACCAGTTGGGCCTAATGTTTCAAAAATAGGTTCATTTGTTGAAGCTTCAGTTACAGTGACCTCTTGTGGCATTTTGAAATGCTGCTCAAATTAGGTGTCATGCTTTTAGTGGCACACACCGAAGAACTTCAGTGACTAGTGTTAAAGAAACTACTTTACTGTGGTAAAAACAGATTTTTTAAATTCATCAACTTTCTATGTTGTCTGGTTTGTAATTTATTCATGCTTACATGTTTTTGAATAAAGATTGATAAATGTGCATTGAAGAGATTTAATAAAAATGTTGCAAAGGTATTGTGCTTGTGTAACTGTGGCAGAGTCCGAGTCTTTATTATTCTTAAAATATCAATGAAATGACGTCTCCAGATCTCCATGTTTGGAGCTGAAGTGTCTGATCATAGAGGAGGTGTTCCCATGATGCTTCAGGTGAACACACCAAACACTGCACCTGCACAAATACACTAATGGAAATAAAAATAATTATTTGAGCCCATACTGACATATGATTATTAAAATCACATACATCATTTTACTGTAATTATATTAAATACATGGGTTAGATAATATCTTCACTGCTGAACATTACTATACTGTGTTGACATTTAAAACCACCTTTATGATGAGCAGAATGAACCCACATGTCTGAACGACCTCTTTTCCTGGCTGCCTCCATAATTACTCAGTTTCAACTAACAGCAGAAACACACCTGCTCTCCAACACATTGCAAACATTTTAGAGCTGTTTCATAGTGTTGAAGCTCTCAATTGAAAACCGGCTCAACCTGTCACCTGTCAGAATCAAGACGAGGCGGTGCCAGAGAATCAGCTGTTTGGACCATGAACCAGTCCAGAGATTCATTCTGACGTATGAAACAGTTTGTGTTTCATACGTCACGTGACTTTTTCCGCACCAAAACAGGCTCCGAAGCAGTGGTTCCAGGTAATTTACTGCAGGGTTCGAAGCTTGTTTTGAAGCTTTTGTTTCATACTACCATCACTAGCTACAACAACAGAGTTTGAACACGGACTCAAAACAAAAAGAGAGTTCCTATGAAAAGAGGTTTAGTTTCCATCTCCTACCTAATGATCAGGAATTAAGAAGAATGTGTCTGAAACATCTGAACTTGAAGAGGCCACCCAAAACTCTGCATGTGAGCTCATTTCACTTTGTTGACAAACGAACGACGGAGGAAAACCTGCATCCTACTTTGTGTCTGGACGACAATAAACCACCGGAGAAGAGACGCCGGATCCTCAGAAGGATTGAAAACAGTGACGAGAACATCAGATATGAGTTCAGGTGTATGGAGGTCACAGCTTTATATATTTGTTCATCTTCAGTTTATGATTTACTCTGTAATGAACCCAAGCTCAGTGATGGAGGACTTTAAGGCTTTGGCTCTGTGTCTGATTTAAGGTCAATAAGTTTGTGTCCCACCTTTTTTAACAGCTGACTTTCATTCCTCTTCTTTCAAGTGCATACCTCCACCTCTCCAAGTTCTCTTCCACCAGTTCCCTGTTCTCACCACAGATCACAATGTCATCTGCAAACATCATATGCCCCATTTGCACTGCTCCTAATCAGCCCCAACTCTGCCCAGCATGGATTTGCACCTGCACTTTAGGACCGATTCTGGAGGCGTGTCCAGAGTCCAAGTCCTGCTAATGAGAGTTCTGCGATGAGATACTCAAAGCAGTCTGCTCCTCAGATAAATAATATTAAATTATTATTTTATATGTGAATATTTCTGTTCAGTCCCTGAGACGACTTCTGTTGTGACTTGGTGCTTCATGAACTGAATTAAATCTGATGAACCAGATTCTACAAAAAACATTTATATTTAAATCTAAAAAAGTTAAGTCTGGTCCTCTGGACGTTCAAAAAACAAACAAAACAAAAATGTAGAAACGTTTCTTCTTTCATCTGAAACACTTCTTCAGTCTGAGGTTATAAATCGCTATTTATAAGACCGAGCTGAATACAGCTCGCAGCACGGTGGCGCAACTGGTAGAGCTGCTGCCTCTCAGTGAGCAGGTCCCTGGTTCAAACCCCGGTCCAGGGGCCTTTCTGGGTGGAGTTTGCATGTTCTCTCTGTGCATGCGTGGGTTTTCTCCAGGTGCTCCGGTTTCCTCCCACAGACCAAAAACATGCATGTTAGACTGATTGGTAACTCTAAATTGTCCCTAGGTGTGAGTGAGAGAGTGAATGTTTGTTTGTCTCGTTTGTCTCTATGTGTCCCTGTGATGGACTTGCGACCTGTCCAGGGTGTCCCCCGCCCCTCGCACAGTGATTGCTGGACATGGGCACCAGCGACCCCCGTGACCCAAAATGGAATAAACGGGTAAAGAAAATGGATGGATGGATGGATGAATACAGCTCCTCAGACTGAAGAAGTGTTTTGGATGAAAGACAAAAAGGTTCTACTTTTTTTCTTTGTTTGTTTGTTTATTTGTTTTTGAATGTTCAGAGGACCAGACTTAACTTTTTTAGATTTTTCTACCTGATTATTGAGCAGCATCAGGATATCTATATTTAAAATTCTATATTTTTCTTCATCATTTGATGTATTTGCACTCATTGTGGTTTTGTTTCTTGTTTACAAATTATTTTTTCTTACAGATTATTTTTAGCTTTGAATTAAAGTTTATCTTTGATTTAAAGCTTTAATTTAAAGTGTAATTGTTTTGTGATTTGTACATGTGTGGGTTAGAATAAAGTTGAACCAAAGGCTGTGTCTCTTCTTTAAACGTCTTTAAAAAAACATTTCCACCCCCCGTCCCTCCATCCCAGTCCTCCCGCCTGCCAGGGCTCGAATCCGGCCTTTGTGAGCAGGCGAGGCCGGGGCTCAGGGCTCGGGGTTCGGCCTCGCGGGCTTCAACGTCTCGGCAGCTCGTATGATCCTCCGCGGTGACACTGCTCACTCGAATTTTATAGTCGGCCACCAAACACAAAATACAGCTGGACTTCAGAATTGAAC